AAGTTACTCCCAGAAACAGACTGTCAAACAGGCCCTCCAGGGCATTGCTGAGTTCCAGATGGCATTGCTCGCTCAATTCAGGGGTCAAGAAATGGCTACCCTGAAACTGCCCCTCAGCATCCACCAACTAGAGACGGACGGCTGTCTCCACCCAACTTGTCTCTTGACACCCACGAAGCCCTGGGCTGGTTTCTGCTGACGAGGAGCCCAGCGTTTCCACAAACCTGCTTGCCAGCATTTCCAGCCCAAACAGCAGAAAGATGTTTCCGCCTCATTTCTGCCTTCCAAATCTCACAGCAGAGTCTCTGAGAGAGGGACCCCATTTCACCTGGGGAAACTTAAAGGAGTCTGGGAAATGTACTTTTTAATTTTCCAGAAAGAAGTTAGAAAGGATTAACATACAGATCTAGTCTAACTAATATCTTCTAGGGTGGAACTTGGTAGTTGCCCCTAAAAATGCTATTTCATTACAGGGTAAAACTGTTTAGGGCACAGATTAGGCTCTAGAAATCAGTTCCACTAACCCAGCGGTTCTCAACCTGTGGGTCGAGACCCCTTTGGCGGTCGAATGACCCTTTCACAGGGGTCGCCTAAGACCATCCTGCATATCAGATATTTACATTACGATTCATAACAGTAGCAACATTGCAGTTATGAAGTAGCAACGAAAATAATTTTATGGTTGGGTCACAACATGAGGAACTGTATTTAAAGGGAGAGAAGGTTGAGAACCACTGCCCTAAAAAATCACAATTAACTTCTGCTTGTTACTGTAAAGACCCAGTACACTACGCAGTACTAGTTAGTGTGTTCTTAAGTACTGTTGTAGAACTAGTGAAGCTAACTGATCAAAGCAAATACCCTTTGCTGAGTGCCCTCTGAGCTCACTGGGGCTAGGACAGGGGTGGGCAAACTTTTTGACTCAAGGGCCACAATGGGTTCTTAAACTGGACCGGAGGGCCGGAACAAAAGCATGGATGGAGTGTTTGTGTGAACGAATATAAATTCAAAGTAAACATCATTACATAAAAGGGTACGGTCTTTTTTTTCAATAGTTTTATACATTTCAAACGGGCCGCGGGCCGTAGTTTGCCCACGGCTGGGCTAGGAGATAGATGAGTTTTTAGTGCGGCAAGGAGTTCTTAAAAATTATTTATTTCGTCTCCCCAACGACAAAATCCTAGCTTATGCTTCAGTTTGATCCTGACAGGTATTTCTTAAAATCCTTTTCATAGCCACTTCTATTCTTTTTTTTAAAAAATATATTTTATTGATTTTTTACAGAGAAGAAGGGAGAGAGATAGAGAGTTAGAAACATCGATGAGAGAGGAACATCGATCAGCTGCCTCCTGCACATCTCCTACTGGGCATGTGCCCGCAACCCAGGTACATGCCCTTGACCGGAATTGAACCTGGGACCTTTCAGTCCGCAGGCCGACGCTCTATCCACTGAGCCAAACCGGTTTCAGCGCCACTTCTATTCTTTACTGTACTTTGTATTGTGTGTTCACCATCCCAAGTCAAGCTTGCAACACCATTTATCCTCCTATACCCTCTTCTGCCCCCCTACTCCCCTTTCCCTCTGGTGATCACCATACTGTTGTCTGTGTATATGAGGGTATTTTTGTTTTTATTTTTATTTTTGTTAACCCTCACCTGAGGATATTTTTCCACTGATTTTTTTAGGGAGAGTGGAAGAGAGGGAAAGACAGAGAGAAACATTAATGTGAGAGAAACACATTGATTGGTTGCCTCCTGCATGAGCTCCAACCTCCGTCCTGGCCCGTGGTGCCTGGCTGCGCTCACTGCATCCCTGCTTGGGGACTCAGGTTCTGTGACTCAGGCGGAGGGGTCGCGCAGGGTCCAGGGGCCTAGGTGCTGCCCAGGGCCCAGAGGTCAACTGGGATCTGCCCTTCCATGCCAGATGCTCGGGTTTCAATCGCTGACCAGGTCTAAGGACTCCATCTGTGCATGTATTTTGTGCACTGGGCCTCTAGTTTATTTATAAATACTTTTTTTTTTTTAATTTCAAAGAGAAAGGGAGAGAGAGAGAGAAACGTCAATGATGCTCACCCCACACTAAAGGTTGAGCTCGCAATCTAGGCATATGCCCTGACGAGGAATGGAACTGTGACCTCCTGGTTCATAGGTCGATTCAACCACTGAGCAACACTGACTGGGCAGTAATTTTAGTTTTTAGAGAATTTTCATGAGTTTTTTGAGCCAAACATGACATATGCCAGGGGGCAAGATCTCAGATGCTCCAAAGAATAACAGTTTTGCAGCTTCTTTTATGCATTTGAAATTAAGGAGGTAGGAAAAGGTATGTCAGGGATTGGATTACCACCAGGTTGTTTTTTTTGTGTGTTTTTTTTATTATTTCAGAGGAAAGGAGGGAGAGAAGCATCAGTGATGAGATAGAATCATTGATCAGCTGCCTCCTGCATGACCCCTACTGGAGATCAAGCCCACACCTGGGAATGTGTCCTGACCAGGAATTAAACCCTGACCTCCTGGTTCATGGGTTGGCACTCAACCATTGATCCACACAGTCCAGGCAGGCTTTTTTCCCCCCACTTAAAACATTTTTTTAAATTGATTTTAAAGAGGAAGGGAGAGGAAGAGAGAGATAGAAACATCAATGATGAGGGAGAATAATTGATCGGTTGCCTCCTATATGCCCCCCTACTGGGGATTGAGCCTACAACCCAGGCATGTGCCCTGTCCAGGAATCCTGGTTTATAGGTAGACCCCCAAGCACTGAGCCACACCGGCCAGACTCCATTTTTAATTTTCTGAGGTTACTCCATATGGCTTTCCACAGTGGCTGCACCAATCTGCATCCTCTCCAACAGTACACGAGGGTTCCCTTTTCCCCACACCCTTGCCAACACTTGTTCGTTTATTGATGAAAGCCATTCTGAAAGGTGTGAGGTGATACCTCCTTGTGGTTTGAATTTGTATTTCCCTGGTGATTAGTGATGTTGAGCATCTTTTCATGTACCTATTGGCCATCTGTATGTTTTCTTTGCAGAAATGTCTATTCTGGTCCTTTGCCCATTTTTAATTGGTTTGTTTGATTTTCTGGTGTTGAATTTTTAAGTTCTTTATAAATTTTGGGTATTAATCCCTTATCATATGTGTCATTGGCAGATATGTTCTCCCATTCAGTGGGTTACCTTTTCATTTTGTTGATGGTTTCCTTTGCTGTGCCAAAAACTTTTTAGTTTGATGTATCAAGAATTTTTTTATAAACCTCTAGGTCAGCAGTGTTTTGAATGATTTGAGTTGCCAGAATTCAGACCTCCTCAAGAGTGGGTAGTTGATGCATATGTTTTTTTCTTTTTTTTAAATGTGTTTTTATTGATTTTTAAAGAGAGTGGAAAGGAGAGGGTTAGAGAGATAGCAACAGCAATGAGAGAGAAACATTATGGATCAGCTACCTCCTGCACACCCCCACTGGGATTGAGCTCACAACCTGGGCACATGCTGGATTTCGAAGTGAACCGGCGACCTCTTTTTTTTTTTTAATATATTTTTATTGATTTCAGAGAGGAAGGCAGAGAGAGAGAGAGAGCGTGATAGAAACATCAGTGATGAGAGAGAATCATTGCTAGGCTGCCTCCAGCATGCCCCCTACTGGGGATCGAGCCCACAACCCAGGCATGTGCCCTGACCTCCTGGTTCATAGGTTGATGCTCAACCACTGAGCCATCCCACCAGGCAGTCAAAATTATTTTGGTGGTAATTCTTAGCTTAATTGATTAATTTAAAAAGCATAAAATCCATTTTCCCACTGCCTGTGGCCATAAGCCTTAACACTCTATATTAACAAAATTAATGGTCAATGAAAATAGTGGGATAGATTTTGTTGTTGTTGGTAATTAAAAAGGTTTGGAATATAGTAGGAACTGAAGTTTTCTATAGCAAGACTTGTTGCAGCTGCTGTTATAAATTGTGGTATATGCCCTAGCCCAGGGATGGGCAAACTTTTTGACTCGAGGGCCACAGTGGGTTCTTAAACTGGACCGGAGGGCCGGAACAAAAGCATGGATGGAGTGTTTGTGTGAACGAATATAAATTCAAAGTAAACATCATTACATAAAAGGGTACGGTCTTTTTTTTCAATAGTTTTATTCATTTCAAATGGGCCGGATCTGGCCCGCGGGCCGTAGTTTGCCCACGGCTGCCCTAGCCGGTTAGGCTCAGTGGATAGGATAGAGTGTTGGCCTGCAGACGGAAGGGTCCCTGGGTTCGATTCTGGTCAAGGGCATATGCTCCTGTTGCAGGCTCGATCCCCAGAAGGGGGCGTGCAGGAGGCAGCCGATCAATGCTGGTCCCTCATCATGGATGTTTCTATTTCTTTCTCCCTCTCCCTTCCTCTCTGAAACCAATAAAAAAATATTTTTAGAAAAACACACTTTAACTCTAAAAACAATTGTGGTATACTCTGGTGTCATCTGGCAAGTCAGATTAGGAGTTATGAAAGATTTGGGTGACTGCAGTGGGGCTTTCTGAACATATGTAGTAGGAGTCTTTCCCCACTTCTCTCTTAACCTTACAGTTTTTAAGTAACGTTGACTTTTTCAAGCTGAGTCTTGAATGCTATTGTGTTTGTTTCTTTTGCAAACTATATGGATGCTACTTGCAGGAAAAGGGTAATAGGACATATGTTGCTGTCTTGGTATCTCATTTGCTCGCCTGTCTTGGACTAGCTGTTGTCTTAAGAAGTTTATTTTATTATCATAGTTAAAAAGTATGTTTGCTTTCAAGTTACCATAATATATTTTTAATATTGGAAGCCTCCTTTTGCAGATTTAAATACTAAGGTTCAGGTAATAAGTTATTTCTTTATTTATACATTTCCACTCACTAATAATCTGTGTGAGATTATCTGGTTTTACATGCTAAAAAATGATACATGATAAATGCTCGCATGTAATTTATTTAAATAAATATTTATTATGTACCTTAGCAGATGTTTTTGTCTTTTATTACAAAAATACATTATAAATAGTTATTTTCTCTCTACAGGACAATCCTTCCTTCACACACGCTGTGTTTGACTTGGAACCTTCCCATTTTTACTCTTCTCAGTTGACGTAGCAGGGTTTTAGAGCAGCATTTGTAAATTTCCAGGTATGAAAAATTTTAATTCTTGATATACCTAACGTAAATACATAGATAAAAAGTCTAACTTTGCAATGGTAGATTTTATGTATACGAGAGGGGATTTATTGCTTGAAAGTTCACTGTATAAAACATTCAACATTTGGATCTTCTTGGCCAGTTCTCCCTGTTCACCTATTGCTAAAATTTTAATTCATTGCCTCTGTTGTGTCTTCTGTTCCATTTTAATCAAAGACTCATGTTACATAGGGCCAGAGATTATCTAGACCAATCCCTCCAATTTGCAGAGAAGGAAATTAAGCCTAGAAAGGTAAAGTTACTTCTCATGACATATAGCTAATTCAGTGATAGAACTATTGTCAGCACTCTGATCTCCCAGCACCCCCTTTCCACCTCATCCCTCACCCCCCAGTGCTGTAGTAGTATAGTTCAGTAGTTACAGGCTGCAACTTTGGAGTCACTGTCTGGGTTATTACCCTTTTCTGTAAAATGGGGATAGTCACCTACGTAATAGTTTGTGTGGGGACTAGAGACAATGCATTATCGCTACTATTGTTGCCTGTGGCCCTTTTATTTTTCCTTGTATTGACCCCTTCACTGCTTCCTGAAACTCCCCACCTTGGGCAAGGTGTTTCAGTGTTCTGATTCTCTCTGCAGTGCTATCTGTAACACTGGCTCTCTTCCCCATCCTGCTCTGCAGTCACAGGCAATCCACCAGGTTCTCCTCTCAGCCCGAGTTTCCTCTGAGCCCCTTCATCTGTATTTGCAGACATCTCCTACATCTCTATCTTCAATCTGACTTCTCTGGACTTCTGGTTAGCATTTTCTGGCCATCGTTACCTAATTTCCCACTCTCCTCTAACACAGTGTAATTACAACCCACGTCATTGCCTCTAAACCAGTTTTTCCCTCCAATCAGCCATTAAGACCTATAGATTTATTTCCCGTTCAAGTATTTAGCAACTTTTCCTTCCTTTCCATT